TTAAAACAAAATTAAAGGTTACGGATAAAATATTTATTTAATCCATTACTTTTAACATTCTATAAAAAAAAACACCTTTTCCCTTCCTCGAGCAGCAATACGAAGTACGCCTTCTTGTTAAATATAAAGTAATTTCAATAATGATTAAACATGACAATTAAATACACCTTTTTTATTGAAATATTTTAGTAAGAATCCAAGCAGACAAATTTAAATGCTATTAGTGTGCAGGTTTGCTGCAGGGAAGGTATTTAGCTCTCTTGCAATCTGACCTTTTGTACTGAAATTTGTTTATGGCAACTAAATTATGTAACCATAGCACCAATTGATTTTTTCAGTGTTTGATACTTTACTTTCCAGTGTAACACAATGTCATGACAGATCTTAAGATTTGTTTAATATGAACAATTTATTAAACTTAAAAGAAAATACTTGACTTTAAGATGTTTTTATTACTTAAATTCAAATGAGTCTGAAGACTTTCTTTAACATTTAATTTTTTTTCACACAGTCCGTCTTATTTTAAGATTTTATAATACTGTAGTCACAGTTTTTTTTTATTGTAGTAAACAGGGCTCTATAATTTGATAAACACAATTCAGCAGTAAATAATATTTGATTCTGCCCCGATTTTTGTGAAAAGGTTTTTTTCAATAAAAGTTCTTGAAGTCAGCATAGTCCTAGTGAGTCCAATACAACTTATAAAGCATAACATCTGTTTACATTAAATGTAATGAATTATTTTAAATTAAATTTATCTACCTTACTAGATACAATAGAAACATCTTGTAAACTAAATATAAAAAAATTACACCCAAGTCCTCTTGTAGTGTAAGAATATTAGGAAAATCGACCTAACAAATTCGGACTAAGTGGAAACTTTGCACAGTTGTTTAGTAAGCCTCAGGGGTGCCCATCCCCCCCCAAAGCTCACGTCGCAGAATCTTTAAGACTGGGACGGGTGGCGTCGTCCTGTAATCCAGCTACTGGGAGGTCACGAATTGTGGATATTTATAGGGATGCACTGTGGATGCGATGCTCCCTGGTGTGGATTAACGTCCGCACTAGTGAGTACTACGACTATCCGCAGTATTATCCTGAATAATTAGACCAATTCGTAAATTACAAGGAAAAATGTGGTTCGGATTCCACTATAAACTGTAGGTCCCTTAGTTGCCATTAGCTGTATGGGCTATTAATTAACAGCTGTGTCTAAGGAACATGTCGGCCTTAGTCACTAACAAGACTACAAGATCGCGCCACTCTTCCTACACTAATCCTTCACTCATATTTGGGTTAAAATACGCACATAGTGGCGTCCCCATCTTAAATAATTGAATTGAATTGAAATCCCCCCCAAATTCGTTGTTTAACCCATGCCGGAAGGTTCTGGGGGCTAACCCATAGTTATGTTTATAATGCGGGGAGGGAAGGGGTGCCCCCGACACTACTTTAAATTTATGGGAGTTTAAGCGTTTGATTCAAACTTTTAACCCAATTTAAATGGACAATTTTGCTTTAAAACTCTAGTAGCATAGTAGCAAACTATTTGTTAGTATAGTTTTAATTTAAATGAGTTGGATTTTTAACATGCACACAATCTGAATCAAAATTGGCCATGTAATTTTTTTTAAATCCGATTTTCCATGAATTAATGGGTTTTAAAAGGGAAAATCACAAAAGTTGCAATAACTTTTGAACCATAATTTTTACGGCATAGAGGGTTTATACAATTTTTGTCATAGTCTAAGAGTATACCTAACGTGTTAATTTTTCATCAAAATCGTTCGGGCCAATTCTGAGAAAATTTTATTCATCCATTATTTCATAGGGTTTTATGGAATAATCACTATTAAAAAAAAAAAAAAAAAAAAAAAAAAACATCTGGAGAGACCATGGATTAATACCTAAAATATCAAATTTCATCAAAATCGGACTCGGACCACAGGCGTGGTCTGTAGCTCTGTACCATACATACACATATACACACATACAGACAGACAAACACATCACTTCAAAAACCATTTTTTTGGGATCAGGGTTTTTACATAAACAATTCTTTTATCATATTAAATTGTAGGGGAGAAAGTACTTAAAGTTATGTCAAAAAGTTTGAGATATTTTCTAAATTGCCCTTTAATCCACTTCTGAGTTTGGTCCTTTTTAAATAAGTGTAAAATTTTCAGTCTCAAAAATATTACTAGACCTAAACTTAATAGTATATTTCGTGCCTAGGGCCAAAAATGAGGTTTTGCTGGTTCGAGATAGTTTTTAAGTTCGATACGAAGTCGAGGACTTAAAACGATCGAGAACTGCAAAACCATTTCAGTCCGTGGTACCATAGATAAAACATACTCCCTTGGTACAAACGCTATTATTCACCACACTATACCCTATTACCACTAATTCACCTCAATGATAATGCACTGCACACTGATATAGTCAACACAACTACAACTTTAAGGTCATGTGGATAAATTATTTGAGGAATCAGCCAAAATAATAATAAATAGTTGCTAGGCAGCGGTGACAATAAAACAACTCTATTGCAATGCTATGGATACTGATTGTGTATTTAATATGCATTAATGTTTTAAGAAAGTAAGCGGTCAGCTGATTTTGCGGCCCTAGGGATGTAAAAACCTGCTCGATCCCCAAATGACGATGACAGCTGGCATGGCCTGCAAAACGTAACTTTCAGTCACCATATCACCAATTAATGTACCTATATGTAAAACAGTTTAAAGCACCATAGTGTGGTAAAATAGTATATTACGTTACTAGTCCTGAATCCCGTGCGAGACGCAGTCGAGTAGTGGTTTTTTTATACGAGTCCGGCCAACACATTTTGGACGAGTGACGTACGATAGTTTACGCCATACTACTAAATCCGTTCAAATCCCTATATATTACCACCAACTAAAGGACTAAAAATCACTAGTCTTTGTTATAACCACTCATTGCCACCCAAATACAGTATAATCAGCTGATTGGTGTCCGGCAAAACTCATTACAGTACAGTAGTAGGCCTACTGTATGAAACCCCATTTGATTACGCTGGCGACAAACAGCTGTTTTCTGGACTAAATCCTTGCATGTGAAGTTCGTCAAAATAGTGTAGTGTGGCGTAAAAAATAATTATATATCTATTCTAAGACTAGTAAAATTTGTTTGAAGCTCTTTCTATATTCAAGAAAAGACAATAACAAATACAATTTAATTAATCCAGAATCATGTGTTTCAATTCTTGAAGTTAACGTAAACACATAGCCTATCCAAAACCCGTAATTATATTGTCACAGTACTGTATGTCAATTTCTTCCAATGAATAAATGACCCAGGCATAATTATTTGGGAGAGCCAAAATATTATCACAAGCTTTCATGTTGTTGTTCATGTTGTAAAAATAGCAAAATGATTATCATTATCATAATACTGGTTTTTTATGAATCAAGTATATATTATAATATACAAACCTAAAAACCCATCAATAGGTCCTCAAGGCAATGAGACTATTTTAGAATGAGGTTATAATGAAAGGTAAAATTAAACTCAAATTGCAGATACAATTTAATAAGCCAACCATAATCCTTTGACAGCAGTTGGCATGGAGTTGTTCTCACTGTCAAACATGATACGAGTCAGAAAGTGGAAATCCACATAAAAGTATCTATATATTTTATAGCAATTATAAAATGATTTATTAATCAAGATAAAATGTCAAACGGGATTTTGATTGCATAATTACCCCAGTAATAAATTAAGGAGGTCGTAAAAATTATCTGATTAATCTTTTATGTGCTTTTAACCAACCACTGGCTTGAATCCCCCCCCCCAAAATCATAAAATCCCCCCCCCCCAAAAATCATAAAATCCCCCCCAAAAAAATTTCTGATGTCGCATTTTGCGACATCAAACCCCCCTGTGGGCACCCCTGGTAAGCCTAAATAAATAAAATTTCAAAAGTCCCCAAAAATCCCTGCTGTGCTTCAGCCGCCATCTTGGAAAATGGCGTCCAATTTTCACTTTTTTGACAATATTTCACAAACTATTGGTATTAGAGAATTTTTGTAAATACAAAAGTTAAAGAACGTCTAAAGATACATCTTTTTTATATTACAAGGTTAGCTCTATCTCTAATGGTTATTGAGATAAATAATAAAAGTTAGTATTAAATAAAAAATTCCCATGTTATTCTTATGGAGGAAAATAAAATTGTTGCAGTTTGCTTATTTATGGATGTATTTTTATCAAACTTAGCAAATTTATTTATGTTAAATATTAATAGCTTGATATAAAATAAATAAATTTGCCAAGTTTGATAAAAATATATCCATAAATAAGCAAACTGCAACAATTTTATTTTCCTTCATAAGAATAACATGGGAATTTTTTATTTAATACTAACTTTTATTATTTATCTCAATAACCATTACAGATAGAGCAAACTTCGTAATATAAACAAGATGTATTTTTAGACGTTCTTTAACTTTTGTATTTACAAAAATTCTCTGATACCAAAAGTTTGTGAAATATTGTCAAAAAAGTGAAAATTGGGCGCCATTTTCCAAGATGGCGGCTGAAGCACAGCAGGGATTTATGGGGACTTTTGAAATTTTATTTATTTAGGCTTACTAAACAACTGTGCAAAGTTTCCACTTAGTCCGAATTTGTTAGGTCGAATGGCTTTATTATTCCTAAAATTCTTGGACTATTGTAAATACATACAGAAGTCAATTCTCTCATTAAATTCAATAACATTTCTCATTAACACAGGCTTCATGAAGCCTACCTTTAGATATAATAGAAACATCTTGTAAACTAAATATAAAAAAAATACACGCAAGTCCTAAAAACTTCTTGAAAATACATACAGAAGTAAATTCTCTCATTAAATTCAATATAATTTTTTCATTAACACAGGCTTCATGTAACCTTCATTTAGGCTTTTTTATGTTTGAATGAAGTTTGAATTACTACTTTATATGTATGGTTTCCAGCTGTTCCTGATCGACTTTGGTCTAGCAAAGAAATTCAGAGATACCCGTACAAGACAACACATTGGATATCGGGAAGATAAGAACCTAACCGGTACTGCTCGCTATGCCTCCATCAATGCTCATCTGGGTATTGAACAAAGGTAAGCTGCAATTAGTAAGAAATTCAGTTGTTATAGTTATTGAAGTAAAATAAATATTATATAAAGTTCTTAAAAAGTAAGTTATTCCCCTTACTTGAGCCCTTATAGGGTGTCAAGCTGACCTGGAAACCAGGAGTTGTAGGTGAACTTTTATGGCCAGGAAACAATTGTGAATTGAATGTGAATTTTGTAAATAACCGGGAAATTTAAATCAATGGCTGAAGACCCAACCCGAAACCACTTTTTTGTTGTTGAAAATAATTTTGATCGCGGGGGAAACTATCACGAGTAATATACGTTGTTTCCGCAATTACAGAAAATACTCGCTAAGCAGGGGTTGAGATGTCGGCGGATGTTGCCACAATCGCAAGAAATCATCACAATGGTGTCTGAAGGTTCAACTGAGGGTAATCAGCTTGGTACAAGTTCAAATTACAGATCACTCGTTCTGTTGCTTTTTTATGAGGCCTATCTGAGATTTTTAGTAAGCCAACAAATTATATAGGCTATAAGAAAACTAAGCGAAAAAAAAACAAGAAAATCTCACTAACCACTACCAAACTCTGAATTAAATTAACAGCTCTTGTGGGTTTAGATTGTGTGGCGTGGGGGGGGGGGGAGATATACTTCCAGCACTTAAATATGACTAATTAAAAATCCCCAACCTTCCTTCCAAAAATTTCCATTGTGGCCCTCAAGGAAAAAAAGGTTTGGAGACCCCTGATCCAAAGCATGGTCAAAACCGTTTCATTAAAACAAATTTAAAAGAATATTTTCATCTACTATGTTAACAAACTAGAGGTGCGATTCGAGCCTAGCCTAAAAGCTTGTATTAAGCTACACCCAAGCTTTAGAGTATTAAGTAAGAGAGTCAATCTCGAGCAGAACACGTCTGCAAAGAATTGAAAAAGCTTTTGCTGTGATTGTAAGGAACAACAATAATGTCTCTATGATCCTGGGAGACGATAAAATATTATAGGCTCTTAGTAAATAGTTTTTAACAATCCTTTAAGTAAATATTATACATACAGTCTTTAGATAGCTTAGGATATTGTTTCTTGTTTTAAAATAAAATTAAATCTTTATATAAAGAATTCCATTTAATGAGCTACAAGTAAGTTTGTTTACTAAAACATTGTTTACAAAAAACAACATAATAATAACTTAAGAACCATATGACTTTATAGTCATATGTCATCTCCCTTCTTCACTTATAAGTCAAGTCTTTTGGGAGGATTTATTCTTCGCGATGACTTTCTACTATCTACGTCTTTAACTCCATTTCCAGCTTTACTTCCGTTCACTGTACTTGCTCCTGCCGGTTTTTCAACGTCATAAAATCGTTTCTTCAAAAACCAAGAGTTCCTTCGAACATTCCCATCTGGAGTTTCTATAAGGTATGATCTTGGCTCCGGACCTTTTCTTACGACTGTAGCTGGCTGCCAGTCTGTGTTCTTTCCTATACAGTACTTTTTCTCCTTCTTCAAATTCTAAGTTGTTCTTTTTTGTTCTGTTAATGTATTGTCTTGATTTTTCCCGAATCTTTTGCAATTCATTGTGAACATTTTGAATTATTTTAGGTTGCAGAATTTTATCTGTGCTAGGGAGCAGTGTCCTTGTTCTGCGCTCCATTAATCTTTGAGCTGGAGATCCAAGATTTTTCCGGGGTATATTTCTTTGATGAAGTAGGGCGAGATAAACATCCGTCTTTTCTTCTAGGCATTTCTTTGGAATGAGTTTTGCCTCTTGAACATACTGTTCGGCTAATCCATTTGATCTTGCAAACAAAGGGCTTGAAACTCTTTTATTGAATTGCCTCTCTTTTCAAAATTTTTGAACTCGAATGAATTGAACTGAGTACCTCCATCTGATAATAACGTTTCAGGAATTCCATGTACTGAAAACCACTTTTTGAGTTCAGTAATAACATTTGAAGATGTTGTAGATTTTAACTCAACAATGTCATAAAAACCAGAGTAGGAATCTGCAACAACAAGATAATCTTTACCGGATATGTGACAAATGTCAGTTCCTATTTCCATCCACGGTCTAGTTGGTATTTCTTGCTGTAATAATTTTTCCTCGTTATTATCTTTTGGAGCTTTGAGCATATTTTGCAGTTCAAAACATAATTTTTGATTTCGTTTGTCATGTTAGGCCAGAACACGTATTCTCGAGCAAAATTTAGTGAGTTTTGTATTCCTCTGTGTCCTAGGTGGATCTGTTTTAGTGTAAGTGGACGAAGATGCATGGGAAGCAATATTTTTCCCCTTTAAAAATTATATTTTCCTGAACAGCTAGTTCACCCCGACAATTCCAATACTTGTGTAGCTCTTCTGGCAATTCAGATTTTTCTTCAGGCCAACCACTTAGAATGATGTGCTTAAGTTTGGAAAGTTCAGCTTCTTTTTCTGTGAGATGTTGAGCCTCCTTAAGTTTTTCTTTTGGCATGGATATTACCAAGTCTACTGCAAAAGATAGTTCTTCTTCAGGAGTTGCCTGATTAATGCAGTCTCTACTCAGTGTGTCTGCAATATATAATTTTGTTCTTTTCTTATAAACAATTCTTGGATTGTAGGGTATTATTTCCATAATGATACGCCTAACTCTTAGAGGGGTGTCATGCAAAGGTTTTTTAAAGATCGATTCAAGAGGCTTATGGTCAGTTTCAACTACCAGACCTTGTGATCCCCATACATATTCGTGAAACTTCTTACATGCAACTGGAATTGCTAGAGCCTTTTTCTCTAACTGGCTGTAACTTTGCTGTGTTTTAGTTAGAGATTTGGAAGAATATGCTACAGGCCGATTTCCCTGTAGGAGCACTGATGCAACAGAATGTGAGCTTGCATCAACTGATAATGTTATTGGAAGTTTTGGGTCAAAGTAACGGAGCAAAGGAGGTGACACAAGAGCTTCATTTAGCTTTTTGTATGCTGTCTTTTGATCTAAATCCCAAACCCAGGCTATTCCTTTGTTCAGTAGTTTGCGCAAAGGCTCTGTCAACTTAGAAAAGTTATTAATGAATTTACCCAAGTAAGTTACCATGCCAAGATATCGCTGTAGCTCGGCTACATTTGAGGGCTGTTTTAGATTTTGTATAGCTTCAATCTTAGTGGGATCTGGAAGGAGACCATTTCCAGAAACTAAGTGTCCCAAGAATTTGATTTCTTGTGCTTTGAAAATACATTTGTCTTTGTTGAGCTTAAGACCTGCTATATTGAGAGCAGATAAAACTTTGGAAGTCCTTTTTTCCAGAATATCAATGGTTGAGCCATGAATAAGAATGTCATCCATTGAAACTTCTACTCCATCTAAGCCTGATAAAATGGAGCACATGCGTTCTTGAAATATTTCGGGAGCAGAGGCTATGCCGAATGGCATTCTTAAGTAGCTGTACCTTCCCCAAGGCGTCGAAAAAGTTAAATACTTAGAAGTACGCTCAGAAACCTTAATTTGCCAAAATCCTTTTCTGCAATCTAGGAGTGTGAAAAATTTGGAGCCATTTAACCTAGATGCTATTTCTTCTAAAGTTTGAAGTGGGTGATGGCGTGGGTGATTTGTGTATGAAATCTATTGTTTAATCTTAGAACTATTAATTTCCAAACTACTATTTAATGCAACAGTTTTACTTATTACATTACATTGAGCTCCTGTATCTAATTTGAAAAATACTTCTTGGTTCTTGGGAAGTATTAAGAGTTCAGTCCAATCGCCTGCTCTTTGGTTTCTTTCGTTAGATAAGGAACTAATTAATGTTACCTGGTCTGAGTGTTGAATAGAATATACTTCACCATGTTCATCGGAGTCCTCAGTTTTTAATGATTTCACTCGATTATTTGGTTTTGAGCGGCATACCTTAGAGAAGTGGCCAGGGATGCCACAGTTAGAGCACTTCTTTTGGTAAGCAGGACAAACTCGAGGGCCATGGCGATATCCGCAGCGACTGCAAGTGAAGGTGTTATCCTCTTGTTTTTTGCTTAATGTTTTTTCTTCTTGCTTCTCACCTAAAGTTTCTTTTTCTTTAACTGCATATACGTTGCAGCATTTCTTTTCAGGCATTGTAGATAGCTGAAATTCTACTTCAGAAGTCTTACATATGTTTATTGTCTTTTCAAGCGTCAAATTTTCTTCATGAAATAGTTTTTGGCGAGTGTTGTCATGATTGATTCCGCAAACCAGCCTGTCTCGTAATAAGCTATCCTTCATTGTTCCTTACGAGCATTTATTTGCTTGGTTACACACTTTAGTTAAGAAATCATTAAAAGTTTCTCCTTTACCCTGATTTAGATTGTTGAAAACAAACCGTTCATATATGACATTTGATTTCTTTTCAAAATATGAATCAAACTTTGCAATTATATCATTCAAGCTAGTAGATTTTGCATCAATATCAAAAGACTCAAAGACTTCAATTCCATCTTCTCCAAGTACTGACATAAAAGTAGCTATCTGTTTCTCAAATGTCCTCTTCTTCAAATTGACAGCAGTAGTATACCACTGAAATTGTTTCCGCCATAGATTCCACTTCTTTGTCATTTCACTACCACTGGTAACTAACAGTGGCTTTGGTGGTTTTATGTTCATTGGTAAGTCAAGATTGGGGAAAAGATGTTAAAGTTGATATCTTTGTATGAAAGTGAGACAGTGTTGTGGGATGTGTCTAACAGCAAGCACAAAAACTCTAATAAAAGGAGTGATGCCATCCAAGTATCTTAATGTAGCTGCTAACATTTCGCCAGCTGATATGGGACTGCGTGCACCATGTTTAGCGATTAGAGGAGCCACCAAGTTGAGCAATTCTTTAATGTCAATTGCCGTTATTCGTACAAAATTTTGGAATCCTGCTCGAAGTCTTAAATCCCTCATAAGGGAGTTGTAGGCCCTTCAACGGCCCGTTTAGCCAAAAAAACTCCTAACCTACCATCGCGGTCGCTTTCTGCGTTTTAAACTAATTAATTGGTGATATGCACCAGCCATTACAACAAAATCAGCAGCAGCAGTCTCTTCGCTCTCCATGATGAAGGTGCACTGGTGTAGGTAGGTGTGTGGGTGTGGATGGATGGTAGTGAAATGTGCTTGCAGTAGGAGGAGGGGTTGGCGGGAAATGTTGGCGCGTACCAAGATGCATGGAGTAAAAGTTTACTCCATGCATCTTGGGCGCGTACTGCTGGAATGGAAACAGCGCGCCAACATTGTTGGGAGCTGTGCTCAAATCAACTTGAACTTAGCTCCCAACATTGTTGGTACAAAATGTTTGATGGAAACGGGGCTTTAAAGCAACAGACAACTTTACCAAGCTGATGCTTTGTGTATCTGTAATGTTATTCAAAATAACTACAGTACCGGTATTATATTTTGAATGCATTTTACAGTCGAAGAGATGACATGGAATCCCTAGGTTACGTCATGATGTACTTCAACCGAGGAAGTTTGCCATGGCAAGGCCTTAAGGTGAGTGATATGTTTTTGTTTTGTTGGTCTTTAATGAACTACTATCTTTACAGGACATCTATATTCTTGATAATCTGACATTTGGCTGTCTGACATGTTTAATAATCGGACAAGCTCGTGAAGGTCTTCTGATTATGAGTATTTAACATTATACCTACCCTTGATGATCAGGAATTCTTGTTAATCCGACAACCTATTACTGGTTGAATTACTGATATTTTAATGGTGGGTTCAGGGTGTCCACCAACCGGGAAAACCGGGAATTATGCATGAATTTTGTATTTAACCGGGAATTTTTTGCCGCAACCGCGGGAAACGACGATGACGTTTCCGTGACCGCGGGAGACGACGATGGCGTTCCCGTGACCACGGGAGACAACTATGATAATTCCGTTACCGCGGGAGACGACAATGACGTTTCCGTGACCGCGGGAGACGACGATGATTTTTCCCTGACCGCGGGAGACGACGATGACGTTTCCGTGATCGTGCATGCGGACGATGACGTTTCCGTGACCGCGTGAAACGATGATGATGTCCAACTGCCGCGGGATATGTTAGTGATTTTGCCGCAATCGCGCATGCGGACGATGACGTTTCCGTGACCGCGGGAGACGACGATGGCGTTTCCGTGACCACGGGAGATAACGATGATATCTCTGTGACCGTGGGAGACGAGGATGACGTTTTCGTGACTGCGGTTTTAAATAGAAACTTACAAAATATTATAAATTTCCAAATTTCAAAAGTTTGACGCTTAATATCTTTGTTGGGAATGAAAATAAAAATTTCAAATTTGGCTCAGATATAGTACCAAGTAAGAGTATTATCCTGTAATAACTTTATTTTGTGGACTCAACTGGTTTTAAAGTTATGAAACATTGAAAAGTACTCAAATAAGCATTATACGTGTAATAGCGTAGGAAGCATAATATTATATTATAATACACTACATGAAAATGTTTTGTTCGTGCGTGTTAAATGTATATACAGTTTTATGTGTAAATGTAAACTTCTACAACTTGACAAGTCCAATTCGGATGGTATAACGTTTCAATGTTTCTGTGTACCACTTGAAAATGCCAACATGGCAAAACATGTAGTGGATTAACAAAAACACACTATTTGAACTGCAAGACGATGTACGTTTTATTTTAGTCAATACACTATCAATGTATTTGTTTAGTAATGTTATATTTTAATAATGGATTGTAAGCATTTTGATGTTTTAAAACACTCTACTTAGTTGTCTGCCACAGGTACAAATCTGTGAAAGGATTGTGTTCAGCGAATTGGTAGACGTCCTTCACTATTGAATCAATATTGAAGTCCTAATTCATTTTTTGCTACTTCTTTATTGCCTACATAAAGGAATTGAATACCTTAAAGGTGTTTTTAACAAAAGTTAAACATATCCTTAGCATTCAAAATTTGGTTGTCAATGGTATATTGTAGGGATGGTCAAGTCTCAAAATTTCGGGAAATTTTCGGGAAATTTTAAATCTCGTTACACGAGACGAGATTTCATTTTGGCCGAGATTTTTATCGAGACGACAATAAAAAAAAAAAAATAAAAAAAAAAAAATAAATAAAAACGCCTGCAGAAAGTCAATGCAATACCCGCAATACAGGAGCGTGTTGTAGTTGCGTTTCCTTTGCGAAGGCGTTCTTATTTAATTAATTCTTTAAATGTAAATATTACTTTAATTATTTTAATAATATTACTTTAATAACATTTGAGAAGTTTTTTTGAGTTTAAGCAGTGTGAGGAATGTTTTATTACTATAAAAAGTCAAAACAAGTAACTATTTTATAAAAATTAATATTGCTTTTATTTTATGATTTATTTTATTTTAGGATAAGTTGAACTCTATCCTAACTGATATCACTATGTTTCAGGGTGTCTAGTAGTCGGGAAAATCGGGAAAGTCGGGAATTAGTATTGAATTTCAAAATGGTCTTGAAAAGTCGGGATTTAGTCTTAAATTTGATTTCAAAGTCGGGAATTTTTATGATTTTGCCGCGATCGTCGTCTTCCATTTACGTAACCGCGAAAGCCAATGATGATTGTCCTCACGGCCTCGGGAAATGTTCACGATTTTGCCGCGATAGTGGATGACGACGATGTCGTTTCCGTGATCGCGGGAGATGACGATGAAGTTTCCGTGACCGCGGGAGACGACGATGATGTCTACACGGCCGCAGGAAATGTTAATGATTTTGCCGTGATCGCGGACGTCGATGATAACGTTTCCGTGACCGCGGGAGATGACGGTGATGTCTAAACAGCCGCGGGAAATGTTCATGATTTTGCCGCGATCCCGGACGACGACGATGACGTTTCCGTGACCGGATGATGTCTACACGGCCGCGGGAAATGTCATGATTTTGCCGCGATAGTGGACCTCGACCATGACCTTTCCGTGACCGCTGGGGACGACGATAACGCTACCGTGACCGCGGGAGACGACGATAACGTTTCCGTGACCACGAGAGACGACGATGACGTTTCCGTGACCGCGGGAGACGACGATGATATCTGCTCGGCCGCGGAAAATGCTCATGATTTTGTCGCGATCGCGGACGACGACGATGACGTTTCCGTGACCGCGGGAGATGACGATGACGTTTCCGTGACCGCGGGATATTACAATGACGTTTCCGTGACCGCGGGAGACGACGGTGATGTCTAAACAGCCGCGGGAAATGTTCATGATTTTGCCGCGAACGCGGACGACGACGATGACGTTTCCGTGACCGCGGGAGATTACGATGACGTTTCCGTGACCGCGGGAGATGACGATGACGTTTCCGTGACCGCGGGAGTCGACGATGATATCTGCTCGGCCGCGGGAAATATTCATGACTTTGTCGCGATCGCGGACGACGACGATTACGTTTCTGTGACCGCGGGAGACGACTATGATGTATACACGGCCGCGGGAAATGTTCATGATTTTGCCGTGATCGCGGACGACAACGATCACGTTTCTGTAACTGCTGCAGTCAATGATGATGTCCTAACTTACAGTACGCGGAAGATTTCATGGTAAAAAAAAAAAATTGTTATTAGAATTTTTTATTGCTGCATTATTTTTTTACTTGAAAACACAACATTATCATAATACTACTTTTATGACAAAGACAAAGTAAATATATTATATATTATATTAAATATATTATATATAAATATATATAAGATAAAAATTGGTATCGGTATCAAGAATCGAGAATCGATACATTTTGGTATCAAAACCCACTAATTGTGGAAAAAACTATAGTCTTGAAAAATCTGGAATTAGTCTTGAAAAGTCTGGAATTTGTCTTGAATTTTATAATGGAAATAAACTAGACACCCTGATGTTTCCTAATCGTAGGCATTTTTAATAAGTTAGGCGTGATTAATAAAAAAATGTTATGCTGATGTTTTTTAATAAAAGATTGTAAATATTCTTGCCTATTATCATTATTTTTGTATTTAAACAGTCATCTAACAATGTTACAAAATCAGGTAAAAATTTTGAACGTGCATTTCCCATTGTGTATGAGAAGGGAAGAAATCCCATCTCGATCTCGTCTTGAAATTTTATGAGAAATAAAAAATCTTGTCTCGTCTCGTCTCGAACTAAAAATCCAATCTCGTCCATCCCTGTGACTTTGCTCTTTGTAGTGCCTCCTACACCATTGGAAAACATTGACTCCACTTTAAATGTATAGAAATGGTTTTTAAATTAATATTGTTTTGGTTTTAAACTCTATGTGATTTATTTTCTTTTAATTCATTTATGTTCATAAATTTAAATTAATAATACACAAGTCAGCCATGTTATCTTATGGGACGTCTGGCGCTAAACAACACTACTTGTGACGTTCGCAAATTCTACCAGGCCACGGCCTGGATTTATAGGTGGCCGTGGCTATACAGTATCATAAAACGATTTTTTTTACTGAAATATTCAGTCACAGGTACTAAAATACCAGCTGCGAGGCATTTTTTGATACAGTACTGCGCATGGGAAAAATGCCTGCAATGGCGTACGAGGCTCTACAAAGAGCGAAGTCACTATTAGTCTACAATGTACCATTGACAACCAAATTTGAATGCTAACTTTTGTTAAAAATAACCTTAGAGGTATTGAATACTTTTATGTAGACAGTGAAGAAGGAGCAAAAAATGAATTAGAACTTGATTTTGATTCAAAGGACGTCTACCAATTCCCTGAACACAATCCTTTCACAGATTTGTACCTGTGGCAGACAACAAAGTAGAGTGTTTTAAAACATCAAAATGCTTACAATCTATTATTAAAATATAACATTACTAAACAAATACATTGATAGTGTATTATAATATAATATTATGCTTCCTACGCTATTACACGTATAATGCTTATTTGAGTACTTTTCAATGTTTCATAACTTTAAAACCAGTTGAGTCCACAAAATAAAATTATTACAGGATAATACTCTTATTTAGTACTATATCTGAGCCAAATTTGAAATTGTTATTTTCATGCACAACAGAGATATTAAGCGTCAAACTTTTAAAATTTTGAAAATTTCAAGATTTTGAAATTTTTTATTAAATACCCTATGCAAGTCCACAACTTGAAACTTTGAGAATTTGGAGTACACACCTAAAACTATCAGATAAAAAAATAACAAACACATAGTCAATTGCCTTTATGAAAAAATAAATTGTTAAAAACCTGTTTTCGTAACATCGTTGCGTTAAACTTTAAAAAGGTAATTAGACCTATATATTTAGTTTTAAGTGAATAACTATATTACCATATTAAAGTTTAGATCTTTCTGAAGAGATTGGTTTTCATTTTAATGTTCTAGGATTAGTAGAACCAGAGATATTTAATTTAACGTAGAGCTCTGAAATCGCTGAAAACGGGCATTCGACTAACAAAAAAATGGCCGCCATACAGTAGAAAAATAAAATAATCGTATTTTTGTACTTTTAATGATGTGTACTTTTAAGGATAAAAATATGAAAAAATTAAAAATCTTGAAGCAACCAATTAATTTATTTCTGGACCACTTGATATGGATTGACCCTTAAGCTACGATCGAGGAAGATCATGATAACTTAACTGTGATCGCCGGAGACAATTATAATGTTTCCGTTACCACTGAACAATATCAGGATTTTTTCACGACCACGGAAGACAGTGGTGATGTTTCTGTTACTGAGTGAAATATTCAGGATTTTTCAGCTATCGCAGAAAATGATGATGGTGTCTCTACGACTGTGTTGGATGATTACAATATAACCTCGAGTTTGGCTTGACCAAAAATTTCAAAATGGCACTCTTCTAGAAAGATATTTTATATTTTTTTATAATATCTTCATTTACCTTTAACATGGTATTTATTTAATGGAAATGTGTTTAGAAGGGTTTAAAACAGCAATTTTTGTAATTTCTGCATTATGGTTTCTCTAGGCCACTTGGAAAACAACCCATTATTACTCCAAAATTATACAATATAAAAGTACATAAAGCCAGGGGTTGGTGTAGTAATCCTTAAGAAAATTTGGTAAAATTGAAATTATCAGTATTAAGAATCTATTTTTCAGGTGTCTGTACAGAGATTCAATAAATTTTGGTATCGACATATCACTATTTTTAGGAAGTTATTAATAAATTGCAGGTTTATGATTAGTTTTTAATTTTTGGATTATTTAATCAGTAATATGTAAAAATTGAATACTTGTGTCAGGCAGTATTACAGCAATTATATTTTTTTCCCCCTTAACTGAGAATGCTCTTTCCGATAATTGAAATAGCTAGCTGTGTTAGAGCGCTAAAACAGCATAGCGGGAGTTGGCGCAAAACACGTTGGAAATTTTAGTATGAAAAGTATGACCTGAACTACCTGGATTTTTTTTTACTCATGAATTACTCATGAATTTTTTCTGGTTGGCCTGGTGGACACCCTGTGGGTTTCATTTAGGGCTATATAGATGAAATACAATACAGGGTGTTTGGTAGTCAGTGTAAAATATTTTAAGGCATTATTAAGCACACAAATTGCGATGAAAATACATAGTTAGTTATATAAATAGAGATAGTTATATCTCACTCTTACTTCCGGCAAAAGACATTTTTAGATTTTTCCATATTTCTTGACATTGCCTAATAAAATCTCATATTTCTCAACTTTTAACCTACATAATTATATTTTCAATTCCATTTTTAGAATCGTCATAAAATTTTCTACTCTAGTCAGATTGCTGATACTATTTGTTATACTTGGTGTACCACTCCCCAATGTCTTGCAAGGTAATCATCAATGGAATATGTTAATTTATTATTATTTAGACACCATAACTAACCCATTTTCCAACTGGCTATAAGTAAATTTGGAAAATTATTCTGTGTGTTATTATTATTTTAGAAATTAATATATACAAGACATATATAAAGGCTACATACCATTAGTCAAAAATATGAAACCCCTTATACTGTATAAGAAAATACAATAAAAATATGATACAAAACTTAAATGAGAAGGCTGAGCTTGATGACTGACTATAAGTCAACTTGAGAAAGTCTATTGTAAGATTCATAACAAGCTTAAGTCCTGATAATTTTAAAATTGGGAGCAAGCTTTCCGGAGAATAGTAGGCCTATATTTTCACTAGGGATGGACGGGTCCAGAAATTTCGGGAAATCTTTAGGAAAAAAATATTCCCGATTTTCGGAACGGGATTTGATCTGATGTGATTTTCCCGCGTAAGTGACGACGACGCCGCTTTCGGGAGAGATGTTTACGATAGTTCCGCGAATGCAGGAGGCGAAGTCATTTAGACAAATTGCGCCGTGACTGCGGAATACCGACGATCACGCCGAGACCGTGAGTCATACTGACGATTGCGCTGTGACCGCGCGAGTCATATTGACGATCACGCCATGGCCGTGGAGTTGACCGACGATCGCGCCGTGACCGCGTAGTCATACCGACGATTGTACCGTGACCTTGGAGTCATAACAACAATCGCGCCAATAACGCGGAGTCACAACAACAATGGTGCTGTGACCGCGAAGTCATACCGACAATCATACCGTGACCGCGAGTCATACCGGCGATCATGCTATGACCGCGGAGTCATATCGATGATCGCGCTGTGACCACGGAGTCATAATGATGATCGCACCGAGACCGCGAGTCACAACAACGATAGTGCCAAGACGGCGAAGTCATACCGACAATCATGCCGTGACCGTGAAGTAGTACTGACGATCATGCCTTGACTGCGAGTCATACCGACAATCGCACTATGACATCATATTGATGACTCGATCATGTCTACGATCGCGCTGTGATCGCGGAGTCATAATGACAGTCGCACCGAGACCGTGAGTCTCAACAATAATAGTGCCGTGACCGCGAAGTCATACCGACGATCATGCCGTGACCGCGGAGTCGGAGTCATACCGTCGATCGCGCTATGACCGCGAAGTAGTACCGACGATCATACTGTGCCCGCGAGTCATACCGGCGATCACACTATGACTGTGGAGTCATATCGACGATTTCGCTGTGACCACGGAGTCATAATGACGATCGCACCGTGACCGCGGAGTCATACCGACGATCGCACCGTGACCGCGAGTCACAAGTTTCTATACCTGTAAATTTTTACCCATTTTTTTGGTGTTTGTAGATCAGTGCCACAAATTGATTTTGTTTGGTAACTGCAAAACTCAAGACTTTTTCTTTTTATGTATAGGAAAAAATCCCGTCCCGTCCCGAACCAAAAATTCAATCCTGTCCGTCCCTAATTTTCACAATAAATGAGTGAAAACAGGCCTATTGTGAGTTTTAATTGTGTTCATATTACTCAAGAATCTTTCGTTAAACTTGTATTGCGTATTGCTGATTTTACAGTCCTGTGAACTAATTAGTCAGCCCAAACAATCTTGAAATATAATACTCAAACATAGATCGTTAGTAAGTTTGAAAGCACTGCCCTAAACTACCTGATTTAGCTGTATTGCTGATGGGTCTGCACTCAGTTAACTGGCACATCCCACCTTTTGTTTTTTATACCATTTAATTTGTTCTGTAGAATGGCCTTTACTATAACTAGCTGTTACCCCTCGGCTTCACCCTGTTTGACTTCATAACTATTAATAAAACTATAGATTGGTTAAGTTAAGCTGAAATAAACAAAACAGAATACAAACAAATAATCACACCTGATTTTAATGAGGTTGTAAATTGAAAGAATAACATACGTATAAGTGCAGCTGAGGTATTTTTAACATTATGTGTATGGAAAGTCTCCTTTAGAAAGGAATTACGACCTTGAAGGGAAATTTATGAAACAATGGATAGTTTTGCCCAAGGTTTATCGTCATGACTAACATTTTAAGTATATGGTTTATGGTGGTGTGACTTGTAGTTTTCTCAAAAGTTCATGGGTACTTTGGGATTTATATTTAAATTAACTGAGTAATTCACATGAACTACAAAGAATATTTTGTTTTGGTTATAGGCAGCAACAAAAAAGCAGAAGTATGAAAAAATTAGTGAAAAGAAAATGTCAACACCAGTTGAAGTTTTATGCAAGGTAAGATCAGTTGTTTAAGTTCAATTGAATTAGGTAGATTTATATTATAAAAACAAAACAGTTACTCTGTAATAGCTTATTTCCTTTATGGAAAATTTGCTAAACAAACATTAATTACTGAAATAAATCAATAAAATAAAATGTACCCTTAGTCAAATATCAAATATATAAAGTTGTGTAAAATATGAATATTATGTTAATGTTTTGTTTGTAGGGGTTTCCAGCTGAGTTTGCGATGTATCTGAACTACTGCCGAGGGCTGAGGTTTGAAGAGGCACCAGACTACATGTATTTGAGACAACTATTTCGCATCCTGTTCCGAACGCTCAATCACCAGTATGACTACATGTTTGATTGGACCATGCTGAAGCAAAAGAATGCTAACTCAGGTGCAGGCAGTGTGGGGGCTGGTGCCACTGCGGGGGCAACAACAGGGGCCCCGGGCCTACCCACACCAGGTACGCTCAAAGACCGCGGAGATAAGTAACTCCACCATCACTTACCTGGCAAGTCCATACAGATTAAGTTGTCATTACCTATTTATTATTACCAAAATTATTGTCTTGTAAAATTAACTTATTGAATTGGTTGAGAATGTATGTGTTTTTGTTATATTTAAATCAGATAAATAAAGATTGAGTATTTTGCTAATTTGTTTTCTTATGATTATTGATTTATATTTTTTTTAGATAGCCTAAGGGTTTTATACCTTCTGTCAAGCATTGGTATTTATAAAGTACAGGTAATCTTTGATGTATGCAGTGGTTGAGCTTCGGCAGTTTGTTACATTAGTTGTGACGACTGTTTATTGACTGTCGCCATTAATTAAAATAAACTTAGCAAACGCCCTAAACACAAATTAAGCTTTTACTCAGGTTATTTTTATACTGTAAACCTCAATCAGGAATAAGTCCAGATTAAATAATACCACGTTTCTGGAGATGAATCAACTCCTCCCCTTTTCAAGCAGGATTACTAATTATTACATCATCTTATTTAGCACTCAAAAGGTGGCCAGTCTAAGATGCTTTTTGAAAACAATTTGCAAATCAATAAAGTAAAAATAGGTTGCATAATGGCCGGGAGCAGGAAAGATCCAAAAGGAGAGCATATACTGTGTTCCAGTTTAGTTTATAAGAAACCAACAGATAGCAGCAATAATGAACAAAACTGTTAATAGGCCCTCAGTATTGCTAAATGCTGGGAAAAGGCATGGACAAAACACCAGGATACACCAACCAAAAAAAGAAAAAACAGTAGAGCGCACTTATCCGAATGCAGGCCATCCGTAATGTCGGTTTACCGAAATCGCCGCCAAAGACAGTAATCTGAAATTTTCCTCCATGCCAACATTACGAGAGTGGCCAGCAGGGGTGCATGCGGCACAACGTTTTGCGCTAATCTCAGCGACACGGTGATCGTGCTGTCACACAGCCTAATCATTGTATGCATAGCCTTTTTTGTTTGCTTCTTGATTTACTGTAGGCTATAGCAATGACAATAAAAATGAAACATGTTGTAGCATACTTAGTATATCTTACAAACTTAAAATTTTTCGATCGGCTGAAAAACTGTGCAAGTGGCTCAAGCTTAGCTTGTAAGTTTGGTGTTGGGAACTAGAAAATCACTGGCACTAAAAATAACAGTGCATCTATGACAAAGTTTGCGTCTGTGCAGAATAGTGAGGACGGAAGCCTACACAGTACACTAGCATAGTAGGATACTATGTTCAATTTATGTTCAGTTTATTGCTTCATGTACAATAATTTTGACAATCATGGTGATACGGTCAGATATGCTGATATCACTACCTGTGCTGATCATGAGCATTATAGTAAATTAAAGCTTCTACAATGATTGCTAATGTTGTTAGTAGCTTACTATACACTTCAAACCAAGATTGAGGGACTCTAATAACACTTAAAAAAGAAATATGGCCATTTTACGTTGATGCCAGACTATCTGAAAAATAAATTATACAAACACCCCTCTGCCCCAATTGTTTCAGATAATCGACACTCTTCTTGCACCTCAAAATCACAAGTGAAAAAGGCCATACACTACTCTCGGTGCAAAAATTATGTAGACTCGAGTTTACGGTATCACACCTCCGGAACGGCTTGTTCGATTTTGACGAGAGACCTATCAAATTAAAGGAAATATTGTCAAATTTTATATTCCAACGATTTTTGACATTTAACATCACTTTATATAATTTATATAGCGAAAAAGTGGAAAAAATCGGGGTTTTTTCGCCATTGTCGATGAAATCTCAACTTCAGATAATTATTACCAAAAAGATATTTACCGTATGAGCTTCAAATTTTAATGGTATATATAAGGGTTATTTATAAAAAATTTTGTCAAGTTTCAACATTATTATTATTATTTCAACATTATTAAGGTGTATTTGAGTTCTGTTTGGGACTAATGCAGCTAGACAAATTCCAAATTATTGTTGTGGTAATATATCGGCCTGGGACTACCAACAGCGCTGATGTGATTGATTTTATTGATCGTTTCGACTTGTTGATATCCACCCTCAGAGATAAGTTTAATATCCCACTTCTTATTTGCGCTGACTTAAATATAAATAATCTTGAGAGATCCTGGGAAAGTCAGCTGCTTCAGGATTTGTTGGAATGTAATAACCTGAACATTATATTTAAAGGACCAACAAGAGTAACACCTGACTGTATAACTCAGCTTGATTATTTTATTGTTGACTCGTGTGTTGCACATATGTTTCGTGCCCCCAGTGCCAAACCTGTTTTCTTTTCAGACCACCATTTGCTATCAGTGCACTTGTTGTGTGAACGTTTTGGTGAGGGAAATGCAAATAAAACAGTGAAGAGGAAATTTACAGCCTCGACTTTTGAAGCCTTCCAAATTTTATCTAGCAGTGAAGCTTGGATGCCAGAACCTAATTTAAGAAATATTACCTCTAATGATTTATTTGACCACTTCTACGACTCGTTCATGTATGTTTTTAATGTTAGTTTCCCTGTGTCTACTTCAAAGACAAAGAATGAACATAGCTCTTCTTGGGTCAGTCATGAAGTATCGCAGTCGCATGAAGCACTCTTGGACCTGTACTGGAATACTAGGTCGCCTCACTGTTCTGTAGATGGGAAAAATGCTTATCGCACAGCTAAACGACGCCACTCTGCACTTGTCAACAAAACAAAAAAGGCCTTTTTTGGTAACAAAATACTTAATTCCAAAAACACAAGCAAAGAATCTTGGGCAGTGGTCCGTACACTATGCGATGAAAAGTATCAGACCCAATCAAACCTGATTCTCATGATCGATGACGTGGAAGTCAAAAATCCTCAGACAATAGTAGACTATTTCTGTAAATCTTTTCACCAGGAAATATGTACATTGGCTAAAGATAATGTAGCCCCTATGTTGCCCACTGATCTCGAAGCGAGTCGCTTTGTACTGTCTCTTACTTCTGCCTCTGAGGTTCGTGAAGTTGTCTTATTAATAGGATCCAAAAAAAGTTCTGGCATTGATGAAGTCCCATGCAGCCTTCTCAAACTTTGCAATGAAAATATCTTTGAAGCATTGGCCTGCGCTATTAACAAGTCGTTTGAAACTGGTTGCTTTCCTGATTCGTTGAAAACTTCAAAAGTTGTCCCTGTATTTAAGAAGAATGATCCCCTTAACGCAAGTAACTACCGGCCTATTTCTGTCCAGCCTTGTTTTGGTAAAATCTTTGAGATTATTTTTCTTAAAAGACTGCTAAGCTTTATTGAAGCAAATAACATCTTGTCAAAAAACCAATTTGGGTTCAGAAAAAACATGTCTACCTGTGATTCCATTTTCGCCCTTTTAAAGGAAGTATATAACCACCTTGACATATCTGACAGCTTACTATGTCTCTTTTACGACATGACAAAGGCTTTTGATCTTCTTGACCATGGGATCCTTCTGGATAAGCTGCGAATACTTGGCATTTCTGGAAACCCACTGCGATGGATTTCATCCTATCTTAAAGATCGACACATGATGGTATCCTTGAAGCACAGAGGCCCTGACAACATCCTCCGGACATATAAATCGTCTCCATCACCAGCTCTGAACATCGGTGTCCCCCAGGGATCAAACCTTGGGCCCATCCTATTCCTGTTATATGTGAATGACTTGCCTGGCTCCATATCTTCTGGAAATTTATGGCTTTTTGCTGATGACGCCTGTCACCTAGTCCCAAGCCCAAATCGAAACGTCACAATTGAAAACACCCAAACTGGCTTACTTGAAATGTCAACTTGGTGTAGCAAAAATCATCTGGTCCTAAATTCTAGTAAAACCAAATTAATGGAGTTTTATAACAGGAAGAAGCCTGAACCACCTCCGATATTGACCTTGGACGGGGTGCCTCTTGAAACTTGTAGTGAAACCAAATACTTGGGTCTACACATTACGGAGAACCTAAATTGGGGAACACATGTCGATGCAATAGCACCCAGACTGTCATCTGTCACCTACCTGCTGTTTAGACTACAAAAGCTGGTTGACATCGAGATTCTCCTTAAGGTTTACTATGGCTGCTTTCATAGCATAGTTTCATATGGTTTGGTATTTTGGGGAAGTTGTAGTGAGGCAAAACGTATCTTCATCCTTCAAAAACGTGCGATTAGAAGAATATGTGGAGTCCATAGACGGACACACTGTAGACCTCTGTTCCAAGAACTGAACATTCTAACACTTCCGTCTCTCTTTATATTGGAATCTGCATTGCTCGTTAAGAAGAATCCTAATATTTTTGTAACTAACAGCATGGTCCACAATTACAATACAAGAAGAGCAACAAATCCTCATGTACCACAAGTAAATTCCACCCTTGCAAGCAAGAGCCCTTACTTCAATAGTATAAAGATTTACAATAAATTGCCTCAGTACATTACGCAAGAGCCTTCTATCAACAAATTCAAGAACCTGCTTAAAACATTTTTAAGTCAAGCGGCCTACTACAGTGTTGAAGAAATATATGTCTAGGCCATGTGCATGAAGAGGAAATGAATCAATTTTATATTAATTAAAAGCAAGAAAAGTATAAAAACCTGACGACCACGTCGCTGATGCGATACCAGTGGGAATTCTCCAAGTATCAGTAAGTATTATTATTCATGTTCTTGTAAATTTTGTAAACCCTTGTTAACTTTGTCAACTTAGGTCGAAAATTCCCGTTCAAAGCACCGTTGTAACTATTAATTGTTCGTATGAACAAAAAATATAGTTTGTAAATGATAAAAATTAATAGTGATCTATAATGGGTTTATATTTGTTAACCGTTTTTATTCCCGCGCGCGGGGATTGATTTGTCTGAACTTCTCTGCGGAAGGCTCGCTTTCTCCCTGGCGAGGAATGCGGTGTTGCCAGTTTGGTCATGACTCATGCCACCCTTCTTATAAATATGAGTAAGCATACGACATCACGACCAACTATTGTTATTTAGTCATTCCAGTTTCAAACTGCGAGTTGTACACGTCCTTGAAAA